GCGGCTTGAGGTGGGAGGAGGGGATAGGTGGGAGGAAGAACAGGTTAGGGAGGCAGGGACGAGCTGGACTGGTTTTGGGATGCGGTGGGGGGAGGGGAGATTTTGAAACTTGTGAAATCCACATTGATACCATTGGGCTGCAGGGTTCCCAAGCGGAATATGAGTTGCTGTTCCTGCAACCTTCAGGTGGCATCGTTGTGGCACTGCAGGAGGCCCAGGATGGACATGTCGTCTGAGGAATGGGAGGGGGAGTTGAAATGGTTCGCGACCGGGAGGTGCAGTTGTTTGTTGCGAACCGAGCGTAAGTGTTCTGCAAAGCGGTCCCCGAGTCTCCGCTTGGTTTCCCCGATGTAGAGGAAGCCACACCGGGTACAGCGGATGCAGTATACCACATTGGCAGATGTGCAGGTGAACATCTGCTTGATGTGGAAAGTCTTCTTGGGGCCTGGGATGGGGGTGAGGGAGGAGGTATGGGGGCAGGTGTAGCACTTCCTGCGGTTGCAGGGAAAAGTGCCGGGTGTGGTGGAGCTGGAGGGGAGTGTGGAGCGGACAAGGGAGTCACGGAGAGAGTTGTCCCTCCGGAAAGCAGATAAGGGTGGGGAGGGAAAGATGTCTTTGGTGGTGGGGTCGGATTGCAGATGGCGGAAGTGTCGGAGGATGATGCGTTGGATCCGGAGGTTGGTGGGGTGGTACGTGAGGACGAGGGGGATTCTTTTTTGGTTTTTATTGCGTGGACGGGGTGTGAGGGATGAGGTGCGGGAGATGTGGGAGACACGGTTGAGGGCGTTCTCGACCACCGAGGAGGGGAAGTTACGGTCCTTGAAAAACGAGGACAACTGAGATGTACGGGAGTGGAATGCCTCATCCTGGGAGCAGATGCGGCGGAGGCGAAGGAATTGGGAATAGGGGATAGCATTTTTGCAGGAAGGTGGGTGGGAGGAGGAGTATTCTAGGTAGCTGTGGGAGTCGGTGGGCTTGAAATGAATATCGGTTTCTAGGTGGTTGCCCGATATGGAGACAGAGAGGTCCAGGAAGGGGAGAGAGGTGTTAGAGATGGTCCAGGTAAACTTAAGGTTGGGGTGGAAGGTGTTAGTGAAGTGGATGAACTGTTCGAGCTCCTCGTGGGAGCATGAGGCGGCGCCGATACAGTCATCAATGTAACGCAGATGTTCACCTGCACATCTGCCAATGTGGTATACTGCATCCGCTGTACCCGGTGTGGCTTCCTCTACATCGGGGAAACCAAGCGGAGGCTCGGGGACCACTTTGCAGAACACCTACGCTCGGTTCGCAAGAAACAACTGCACCTCCCAGTCGCGAACCATTTCAACTCCCCCTCCCATTCCTCAGACGACATGTCCATCCTGGGCCTCCTGCAGTGCCACAACGATGCCACCTGAAGGTTGCAGGAACAGCAACTCATATTCCGCTTGGGAACCCTGCAGCCCAATGGTATCAATGTGGATTTCACAAGTTTCAAAATCTCCCCTCCCCCTACCGCATCCCAAAACCAGTCCAGCTCATCCCTGCCTCCCTAACCTGTTCTTCCTCCCACCTATCCCCTCCTCCCACCTCAAGCCGCACCTCCATCTCCTACCGACCAACCTCATCCCGCCCCCTTGACCTGTCTGTCCTCCCTGGACTGACCTATCCCCTTCCTAACTCCCTACCTACACTCACCTTTACTGGCTCCATCCCCGCCTCTTCGACCTGTTTGTTTCCTCTCCACCTATCCTCTCCTCTATCCCTCTTCTATCCGCCTCCCACTCTCTCCCTATTTATTTCAAAACCCCCTTCCCCTCCCCCTTTTCTGATGAAGGGTCTAGGCCCGAAACGTCAGCCTCTCTGCTCCTATGATGTTGCTTGGCCTGCTGTGTTCATCCAGCCCTGCACCTTGTTGTCTCGGATTCTCCAGCATCTGCAGTTCCTACTATCACAAGTCAAGATATGTAAGCTTTAAAATCCATCTTAAAAGGAGGAAACAAAGGGAGAGAGAGCTAAATGAAGGGAATTCCAGAGCTTACGGCGTTGAAAACCGAAGACATGGACAACAACCGTGGAGCTCTTAAAATCAGAAGAATCATACTGGACTCAAAACATTAACTTTATTTCGCCCTCCACATACGTTGCCAGATCAGCTGCGTTTCTCCAGCATTTTCTGTTTTTATTTCTGATCTCCACATCCGCAGGATTTTGTTATTAATTAAAATCAGGGATGCCTAAGAAGCCAGAATGGGAAGCACAGATATGTTAAAAGATCATAGGGCTAGAGGAAAGAAAAGGGATCAGAAAGGGTGAGATCATGGAGGGATTTGAAACAGGATGAGAATTCTAAAACTGAATTGTTTGCTTAATCAGGAGCCAAACATAGGTCAGTCACAAGAATGATGGAGGAACAGGATTTGCTGTGTGTGAAGATATGGACAGAGGTTTGAATGACCATACAGAAAGTGAAACAGAGAAGATGCCTGGGGTTGTTGTGGAAATAGTTTAATCTTTAAACAATTCAAGCATAGTTGAGGTTTGTAACAGCAACAGAGCTGAAATAGGGGCAAGATCAGAAAATGTGATACAGTGATCTTAGTGTAAGTTTTGATATGTAGTAAGAAATCTATCTTGGAATCATAATTCACAACAGTTGCAAACACTCTGGTATGACTTTGAGATAATTGCTATAGGGAGAGAGGTATGAGTTGGTGGCTAAGAAATAGTGTTTATGGTGGGGACTGGTGATGATGGCTTCATTAGGGGAAATTTATACTCAGACAACCAGCCTGCCAATTTAGAGTCAGTGGCGGATCAAGATTCATGGAAATTTATATAAAATGATTTATATGAAAATATAGGAGGCATGGTTAGTAAGTTTGCGATGACACCAAAATTGGTGGCATAGTGGACAGTGAAAGAGGTTATGTAAGATTACAAAGAGATCTTGATCAGTTGGGTCAATAGGCTGAGGAGTGGCTGATTGAGTTTAATTTGGGCAAACGTGAGGTATTGCATTCTGGTAAAACAAACAAGGGCAGGATGTATACAATTAATGGTAGGCCTCTGGGTAGTGTTGTAGAACACAGAAACCTAGGAGTTCAGGTACATAATTCTTTGAAATTTGCATCAGAGGTAGACCAGGTGGTTAAGGAGGCATTCAGCACACTTGCCTTCATTGCTCGACTATTGAATCTAGGAGTTGGGACGTTATATGGAGGTCGTACAGGATGTTGGTAAGGCCTATTTTGGAGTACTGTGTAAATTGGAGACAATTCAGAAAAGATTTACTAGGATGTTGCTGGGAATGGAAGGTTTGAGTTTTAAAAATAGGCTGGGACATTTTTCACTGGTGTGTGTGTGTTTGGGGGGGGGGTTAGGGGGTGACCTTAAATAGGTTTATAAAATCATGAGGGACATTGATAAGGTGAAAGCAAGGGTCTTTTCCTAGGGTAGGTGAGTTCAAAACTAAGGGGCATATATATATTTTTTTTTAAAAAGGTGAGAGGAGAAAGTTTTAAAAAGGATGAGGGGCAACTTTTTTTTTTTTTTAAAAAAGTGTGGTTCATGTGTAGAATGAACTGCCAGAGGAATTAATGGATACAGGTACAGTTGCGATATTTGGATAAGTACATGAATAGGAAAGGTTTGGAGGGATACGGGCCAAACGCAGGCAAGTGGGACTAGTTTAGTTTGGGGACATGGACTAGTTGCACAGAAGGGTCTGTTTGTACTCTGTATGACTCTGACTCTATGCATATCTAATCATATGAGGGGCCAAAAATCAATCCTTAAGGAACACCACAGATAACAGTAAGGGAATGTGGAGAGAATATAACTCCACTAATGCTCAAGCAGGGGAAAGAGGTCTCTGGATCCATCAGAGCTAGGAAGAGGTCTTCATCTGTTTAAGCAGTATAAAGAAGGAGGGTTGTAAAGTGTTGTTTGTACTTAAGAATCTCGAAGAGAGAGAAAAATCTCATCTGGTGAATGTGTAGAGGCTCAGTTAAGTAAGATGATTTGAGATGGTGGCATCATGGTAAAGCCATTGAATTGATAATCCAGAGCCTCAAGCTAACATTTTGTCAGCATGGGTGCGAACGTCACCACAGCAGCTGGCAAAAATCAATAAAATTTTGAATGAAGTACTAGTTTAATGGTGACTGTGTAAACATTGTGTTAGAATTTGGGGTCCTCTTGAAAACTGAAATTCTTTCATTTTCAGTATTTCTGTTGTAGCACAAGCCCTCACATAACTGCGTTATTGTAGAAACTAACCTCTACCGGAGTTATCAGGTTCTACACTATCCTAGGCGGAATGCAATCTTTTCAAAAACAAGCAGCTTTTATTCTCAGAATCAAAAAAAACTAACATTCAAATGAAAATGGGCAAGTGAGCAATGGTCAACTGATATCATGAGTAATTGTCCCATGGCCACTGGTTGAATGGATTCAGGCACAGCATAAGTTACCTGCCCCTGGAAATAGGGTATATCAACAGGTTTCTACTCAATGTGAATGACCCAGAGACTGATCCATTTAGACTTTAACATTTCTTTGGACTTGCATCTCATTCCTAAACCTATCTGTGTGTTTTGGGCTATTATTTTACCTTGTGTTTAGTAACTAACAAATTCACTTTTTGTTGACTCAAGAAAGACTGATTAAATAAGCTTCTTTCAAAAGGAATGAATTTGGTGTGGGAGAAAAGTATCCAAAAGGGAAGGGATAATTTTAAAGTTAACCCTGCTGTGACCAACCAAAGGGGTGGGTGAATAAAGAAGCTCTCCGCAGCAGACAGTTTGAATGATTTTGGGTATCCCATCTGTAATTAGTAAACAGGTTGGGAAACCTCATTTGGGGATGGCTTGTAATCATTCGAGGCTCGTGTCTGTGATTTGCACCCACCGAAGACACAAATAGAATTATATTGGGTAAATTGTCACTTTGAAACCATTTTACAAAAAAAACTGGAAGAGGCTTTGAGTTTCCACAGCTGCAGTAATATCTGTATTCTATGCCAGTATGTTCCTAGCAGAATTAGGGCAGGTTATTTCTGAGGATTTAAAAGTCTGCCCTTTGAACAGTTAAAAGATTTAGTGAGTCACTTAAGATTTGACAAAGAAAACCTAAAAATGAAGATACTTTCCTGGGGTTGAATGTCCATAAAGAAAGGGCTGAATCTTTCTTTCTGCTTTTTATACACTTACATTCTTTTACTAAAGTAAATTGGCAGCCTCATGTGAATATGTTCAGTGACTGGCCACCAAGATAATCAAAATGCAAAAATTAAACTGGTGTTAAATCAAGCCGGGTTTTGCTCCGGATCTGACTTAACCATCACGGGATGGTGTCACCATCAATATACCTTTGGATAGAAATCTAGCAACATTTTGGAAATCCATTGCACATCTTGAGACAGTTGTAACTCCCTCTTCCTGTTAAGTTCAAGATTCTTGGCAGAAGCATGAATACAAGACTAAAATTAGAAATCAGTCATAAAAGCCAAATTTCAAGATTCAAATCAGTTCCACACAAAATAGTCAGCTTATAACTGATATTTATATGGTTCTGGATGATTCAAACCTGTGTATTCCTGATCAGGCACTATTTTGCTTTAGGTGAATGCAAATCAAGATCGCTAAAGCTATAACACTAGTTTTGAGGAAGGGTCACCAGACCCGAAACGTTAACTCTGTTTTCTCCTCCACAGATGCTGCCAGACCTGCTGAGCTTTTCCAGCAACTTCGTTTTAGTTCCGTGTTTAAAACACTAGTTACTGTTACTAGAAACGTGCACTTGCTCAATTCAAAGTATGTGGGTTGCTATCAATATTTCAGTTCACAAAACATACATTCATGAAATGCAAAACATACCATTGGTGGGACATTCATTGGCATTGCAGTCCAGGATGTTGATGTAGTCGTCTTTGGCTGCCAGTTTGTTCCTCCTGTTAATTTCCTTTCCCCACTCTGGGTCCACTGCTGATCCGTTCTAAGGCACAATAAAATATAAAGATCAGCTTTTACAAGAAAATAAACCAGAGATGGCTTTCACTCCTATCAATAGTTGACATCATACTACTTACATCTGAACTCGGAGCTGCAATAGCAATTCAGTACTTTGAGCCTGCTCCACCATATAATACGATCATGGCTGAACTCATCAGCCTCAACTCCACTTTCTTCCTGCTCTTCAAAATGCTTCAACCCATTACTAATTAAAAATCTGTCTATTTCCTCTGTAAATTTATTAAATGGCCGAGCGTCCACCGCACACTGGAATATATTCATGACCCTTTGAGAGAAGTAATTTCTCATCTGTTTTAAATCTGCTATCCCTTATCCTAAAACTATGACCTCTTGTTCTGGATTGCACCACAAAGCAACACCCTCACTACCTCTACTTTGTCAATCTGTTTCGCATCTTACATCCCTCAATTCTTTTAAATGCCAAAGAGTATAAACTTTAACTGCTCAATCTCTTGTAAGATAAATCTCTCATCTGGAATCAATCTAGTGAATCTCTTCCAATACAACTACATCCCTCAAGTGATTGTATGCAATATTCTAGGTGTGGTCTCACTAATGCCTCGCACAGTGGCAGCAACACCTCTCTATTTGTTGCATCCTGTGGTCCTGAAATCCAATGTTTATTGTTGTGGCCATTTGCTACAGTTTGCGTTCCTCTATTTCTTGTTGGGGGCACCAGCGTTCCCTCTAATTTTCTGACTGGCCGCACAGATCTCCAAGGCCCATGCGTGGCAGCGACTTCTGGAACCAGAAGACAATGCCATGACTGGCATGCAGCTTCGAGGGAATACTTTGGGCACTTTAAGGAATTGAAACTTTCTCCAGCAAGTAGACAAAATCCATGAAGCAGCATCTGGGTAGATTTACATATTTTAAAAAAAAAAGGAAAAGCTGTTGCAGGAAATAGAATTTAAAAAAAACACTTGTTACTGGTGTATTCTGGAGGCAGTACCATTAGGCACAATACCTTTGCCAAAGCCCCTCACTTGATTATTAGGTTAGTGACAAATAAGCCAGATAGTTGGCATGAGACATAGCTTACTTGAAGGTTACCGACGTAACGCAAACTGTTTCGTGTACACTGTTCTACTAAACTTAATCTAAGAGCTAATTCTTTATAAAAATAAAGAAATAGAACTGGATTAATGCCTGCTACGATGCATCACCAAGCATTTGGTTATGAGAACAAATAAACAATTACTGCTGCTGAAACTCTGAATAACAGCTTCACCTGTTGGAGGTGCAAAGTATTAGGGAATGATATTGATGTCAAATCTGTTTATCAAGCTAAGTCATTAACTGCTTAACCCAAGTTACGTAGCTACTTGGCTCCAAGTAAACATGTTCACTGATGATTGCAGAGTGCAACATTTTGGATTTCCTTAGAAAACAATGCAGTTCATGGCCCCAAGTAAAGACCAGAGCTGAAAGATGCAAGTAACATTTATTCCACGTAAGTGCCAAGTAGTGGCCATCTCCAGCACAAAGGACATTCATGGCACTACTGTTACTGAAACACCACCAAAATTCTAGGAATTACCATTGGTTAGAAACCTAACTGGCTTAACTGCACAAATGCTGTGGCTACTAAATCAGATTAGGAGTTGAAAATTCTGCAGCTAGTAATTCACCTCCCGATCCCACAAAGCCCATTATTTATAAGGCACAAGTCAGGATGCGGCAGAATACACTTCAGTTCCTGGATGAGACAACTAGGTGAGGCACTAACTGAAATGTTCCCTTGAACGGCAAGTGCAAACATAATGGGCTAACTGGCTTTGCTCTGCACTGCAATTGTGTGATTCAGTATACAGCTCGAACAACACCTAAACTTGTTTCCATTCAGGACACAGTAGCTCACTTTACACCCCATACAACACCTTAAACATTCACTACCACCAGTGCACAGTGGATCAGTGTAGCCAACATTCCTTCAAAAGTACCCTACTCAATCACCACCAAAAAAACCGTGATAGGCAAATGGGAACATCACCACATGACTTCCTCAAAGTCACGCACATCCTTACTTTGAAATTTGTTGCTACTCTTTCATGTCACTTGATGAAAATTCTGGAACATCCTCCCTAACAGCATCATAAGGACTGCAAAAAGTCAAGAAGGCAGCTCACTACCATCATCTCAACTGCATTTATGAATGGGCAATAAATACTTCTTGTTAGCAATTCCCATATCTCAGGAACAAAAAAAAACCTGACTGAAGCGGTTTTGCAATATTTCTGATCAACTAGACAGCCAAGTTTATTGACAATTAAAACCAGAAGAGAAAATCTGCCAGTGAAAACTGGATTTCCTCAACTATGTTTATGTACACAGACATATAAATGTATTCCCAGGTTTCCATGCATGTCAGGTAGCCACTGACCCCAAAAAAACATTCACGAGAGATGATACTCCCAAGATGGTACTTCAATATTTCATTTCCCATTGTACTTGTAGCCAAAAATCAAAGGGATTCCTTTTCATTTGATCAGACTTGAAAACATGTTTTCCTTTGGTGAAACGTATGTGACATCCAAACATATGTATAGATCAGACAGGGGACATCCACATATTTCTCAACAGGGAAGACTGTAGTCCCACTAAAAAGCATGGGATCTACAATATTTAACAGTACGGAGGGGGGTGGTTCATAGATGGTAGAAGAATGAGTGGTGCAAGGGAGAGATGGGGTTAACAATATGCTGGAATATGTCATAGAGGCAAGTTCCACTTTACCAGTTCCTTTTTACCTTTCATGCTGAAAGGTAACTGAAGTTCTCCAAGCCCTCAGTCCCTGATTAAGTTTCTATTGTAGGAAAGCAAGAAGTCACAATAGAAATCGGAGATTAGATGTGCTTGGCACGTGAAGTTGGAGATATGAAGAACAATCAAACCAATCCGGTGCCTCTTATTACCCCCTTTTCTCATGATCCTTTCCAGTTAAATTCCATTTTCTCAACCATTAGCATTGCTAAACACTGAAGTCTTTACCTTTTCAATGGAGTTCCGACGAAATTCAAATCTGCAGAAAAAAAAAAAAGTCACTGGAGCATCAATAGCCAACTGCCCATTCAATTAGCATCACAGAATAGAGACTGTACAAAACAGTTAACAGATTAGAAAAGTATTTTAATAAGAACACAAAAATGCAGATTCATTCTGTGAAACAATTATGGTACAGCAACAGGACACTGTAGATCAAGTATCATGATGAACCAGTTCTGATGAAAGGTCACTGACCTCAAAATGTGAATTAATACAAATTTCCTCAAATAGGTCAGTGTGTTTCTTTTTAAGCATCTTGTTTTTAATTTCACATTCTAGCATTTGCAGCATTTCAATTTTGTATAAGCCTGTTGTTGTTTATGGGACTTTGCTATAAAAAATTGACTGGCATATTTGTCGGAATTAAAACAGTGACTATACTTCAGAAGGTAAATTCAGTGACTGTGAAATACATTGGGATATTCTGATGGTTCTTTTTCACATTAAATATTGTTGACTAACCTATTCCGTTCATGGACATGTTATGCTAGAAAAAATTGTGGTATCCGAGTACTTGTTCCCTGAAACTTTTCTCCAATTCATAATTTGAAAACATACTCGTTGAGATACTTCAATTCAGGAATCAACAATGAGTACAGTTTACGCTCATTTCCTCTACATTCTGAGCAAATGTTCCCTTTCAAATTTCTTTGTACTGGTCACCTCAAACCACAACATATTTGTTCATGGGAAATTCACATATAAAAGTCATAATTTATTGCTGGAATTAATCTGTATTTTTCTCCTGATGAATGAAATTGAGAATGACCTATTTATTTTTATGCCATGGTATATTCCAGATTGCTGCGTGGCCTCATGTGTAAGTGTCTTAACGCGAACATAGTGCTTTATGTTTTTCCACAGAGAACTGAAAGGAGATTCAATAATAACTTTCAAGAAGGGAATTAGATAAATACTTGAAGAAAGAACATTCAGAGTTAAGAGACAAGAACAGGGGAGCAGTATTAATTGGATAGCTTCACCAGCACAGGAATGGGGAGTCAAACGATCAAAAACTAAAAACACACTCTCACTCCTCCACAATTCTTCACAAAGCACTCTAGAACTACATTAAAAAGAGAGTGACAGACAAATGTTTAAGATTATGTTTTGATACAGGCTAGATTCTTTCCAACAAAGGCCGGGGCAAAAGAAACAAAATCAGGGCTGTTTGGTGAAGAAGGACATAAAATTAAGACGGGATATCCCAACAAAGAGAGAATATGATGAAACAAAAAGAAAAATGTTGCTTGTTGGGCAAATTCTTCAAGCAAGAACTCACCATAGTCTTAGATCTTGCTACAAACTATGATGCCAGTCTGCAGTTTGATCTCCCTTTCCCAAATGCCGAAGGGGAGAAAACAGTTCCATGATTGAATTTTTATCCATGATTACATCTGGAAGCAGCACGGCATTAAGCTGAAGATTAACACAGATGCTACCAAATAATCTGTCTTACCAACCAGTTGTACTGCACAGAATTCTTGGTCTGAATAGACATCAAATCTAGTCTTTGGAGGTGTTCCAAAGACATTACAATTCTTTGAGAATTCAATACCAGGAGAAAAATCACAAAGAGGTCATTCATCACGTTGGTCGTAATCACATGGAGACCAACCTTCAGAAAATTTGACCTAGATAAGCAGGTCATGTTTGCCACAAAGCACCAAGAACAAAAGGCACAAGGAGACTTGCAAGCTTCTGAATTGCAGACTACTTTTCTTTGGCCAGTCTGATGCAGTCCTTTCCCAATTGGAGACAAATACTGAAATCTGATTCAGCATGCTTCATGGTCCATTTATGTCAAACTCTGCAGTGCGGAAGTTCCCTCATGCATCAACATGATCTGCCAGTTTAGTGAGTGCCCATACTGATCTTGCATTGGACTGTTAGTTGGGAGAGGATACCATGAACGATGAAATCACTTACAGCTTAAACAAACTTGCATAAGGAATCTACCACCAGGTGAATTCTTCAATAGGAGAGAACCAGGTCAAATACATTACATTGAAGGAAGAGATGAGGAAAATAATGCTGGCAGAATAGAATGACATGTAACATTAAAAAGGAACCCAAAATACTCAAAAAGATTGTCAATAATAAATAGGTAGTAATAGGCACAGCAAGTCCTATTAGATCAAAACGAATAACAGGTATTGAGGAGTAGATTAAAAGTTCTAACTTTGCTAAGTTATTTTGTATTGAGGTTTACAAAAGAGGAGAATATGGAGTAAAAACAGGAAGTAGAGGTTGTGAAAAGTTACATGCACGTGCACTGAAAAGGCTGGTTATGTTTTAAAAGAAAAGCCATCTGGCTTAGATAGATAGCTTTCATCAATGGTTGCTAAAGGAAGTGGGGGTGAACAAGGAATTATGCACCCATTGTAATGTAAAACAGCAAAGTAATTGCAATGCAAGAGTCAGAAGATTATTGCACTTATTAAGTGATCTGTGGCTACATGTGGGTTGGGCATTTGGGAGCAGGTTCAAAATACAACATGGTGGCAGATGCATCTGCCCTGGAAATTCCCAAATTGCTTGCAAAAATTCACTCATTGGGGCGATGAATGGGAGAAAGGCTTCCCCTATAAGTGGAATGAAAGGAAATATTGGAGGTTCTGTTCTTCTAATCACAGGGTTTTTCTCACCAAAGGGAAGTAGAAAGTATGGGGAGGGGGGAGGGGGAGAGAAAGTATGGGAGAAAGGAAAGAAAGGAGGTAAAAGGGAAAAGGGAAAGAGGAAGAGATGCAAAATTCAGAAATTCATCAAATGACAGACGCTTTTTCTGAAAGAAAATAAACATGGAAAATTGAGAAAGGGAATATAACAGGGGTCATTTATATTACCAATTCTTTCTTAAAATGTAAATATCACATCAAACGATGGTTCACAAAATTAAAATCAATGGAGTAGAAGGACCAGTGAGGTTGTTGACTTGGTCGCCGAGCTGGCTTGTTTTTGTTCAGATGTTTCGTCACCATGCTAGGTGACATCATTAGTGGAACCTCCAATGAGGCGATGTTATTCTACTCGGCCTGGAATTTATACTATCCAGTCTGTTATGACGAGTACTGTCATTTCTGGTTTTGATCTGTATGAGTTTACATAAGGGGTCCAATTCTATATGTTTGTTGATTGAAGTATGGGTGGAGAACCGTGCCCCTGATGGCAGGGCAGATAACCAAGACAGACTTCATGAGAATGAAACCAGAAGGCACAAACACCCCCTGATTCTATGAACTGCCTAAAGTACATAAACTAGACGTCCCTCTCAGACCCATTGTTTCCCTACCAGGCACACCGTCACACAAGTTGGCCAAGGACCTACAACAGAGATTGAAACATCTAACAGACGGATCACCCCATTCTATCCACTCAACCCAAGATTTCCTTGATACCCTCAAGAACATAAAAATCAGCAACAAAAAGATCATGGTATCCTTTGACGTCACAGCTTTATTCACATCAATTGACATCCCACAAGCCAAAGAAACAGTGGCCACATTACTAGAGGAAACAGCAACGCAGACCAGCAGTTCCATCAGCAAGGGCAACATACTAAAATTACTAGACCTCTGCCACACCACACACTTCATCTTTAATGGTCAAATATACAAACAGATCTATGGTACACCAATGGGGTCACCCATCTCAGAAGCAGTCATGCAAAGACTAGAACACACCACCTTCCCCCACATTCAACCCAAACTGTGGATCCGGTATGTGGACGACACATTTGTCATTATTAAATGCAACAAATTAGAAGAGACCCACCACCTCATCAACCGCGTATACACAGGGATCAAATTCACAAGGGAAGAAGGAAACAACAATCAACTTGCGTTTCTGGATGTTAAAGTAGAACGATTGACAAACGGGGCGTTCCAAACCTCAGTATACAGAAAAGCAACCCATACAGATCAAATCCTCAAGTTCGGCAACAAAGTCAACAACCTCATCCACAACCCGAGCTACAGATCTTTACCAAAACTTTAGAAGGACCAGCGTCAGCACGAGTTAAAAAAAGTGATCAAGGTCAGAAAACTGCAAGTTATGGTAAATAAATGTTCTTTAGACAGGAGGATGGTGGACAGTGATTGGAATACAAGGCAAAATTACAAAATTTACAGGAATCATTGAATATTAAGCTTAGAAGCAGTCTTAGCCATAAATCACTCATCCAATCCTTCACAACTCTTCTCAATAGCAATAAATTGGTTTGCTTTTAAATACATACTGCCCACAAGGTTGGCAAGGGATGAATCCAAATCATTTGCTAGTAGTTTGTTGTTTTGCTGGTTCACTGGCGGCGTTTCATTTTTGGCAAGCGAAGTTGATTGTGGCATTAATATATCACCTAGTTGATCAAAACCTTAGTAAGAAAATAATAAGGTCACAAAGTTGAGGCATGCAATCATACAATCTATCTTTCTAAGCTCCAAACTTTATTACTTTCTGGATAATGCAAAATGTTCCAAATAGTAGTTCAGTTATCTCAGAACCATTTTTGTCTAAAATATTTTATTTAACACATTGCATGCTGCAGAAGCAGGTGATATTTATGGTCCTCAAAAGGCTTTATCGATAGTTTAAATTGCCACTCAAACATTTTTTACGACTGTGTACAGAAACCGGATTCACCCAACCGCCAAGTTTTGAGACAGTGAATATAACATTTACATTATTAGGCATTTTCATTGATTGAAGTGGAACTGCTACAAACAGCTATTCATTACGATGCAATTGTCTTACATATCATTATTAAAATGAATTCAATGTTTAAATTTTATTGTGTTGTTCCATATATTCAGCATGAGAAAAATTAACAAGCTTGCAGATTATCAGAGAATGCATTTGCAAGAGTTTCCAGGACAGACTGTAAGAATTGACTCAAATGCTCAAAGCAACATATGTACAATAAACTATTAATTGTGCTGTCTGTTAAGTTGTTTTGTGTTTTGAATATTATAATTTATGATGTAATATAACGTGATCTGCAGTTTAGCTTGTACTAAGTGGTCTAGTAATGTGAATGCTTATTGCTTTTGGACAACCTCTGTTGCAATATTAAGTCAGAACATATAATATTAAAGTCACTGTTACAAATGCAAAGTAACTCAATTAAATCATGATCTTGCACGAGGAAAGAATCTTGCATAAGATACTGATGGTTGTTAGGAGATGGTCAGGATGCAAGGAGATATGTGTATGATACATATGATGTGAGCTTGCTTTTCTGTTAATCAATCTGCATTTTGTTTTGGCCTCCTTTTGTCTCCTCAACTTTGTCTTCCCCTCATTAAATCTCCTATCCATATTCATGCCCACCATTTAATTTTGTCTAATATTTAAGGCTACCTGAAACATTGTTGTAGCCTTCAACAAACATTCTACCAACCTTCCTTCTATTATAATTCTCTCAGTAAGTGATTACAAAAAGAACTCCTTACACAGATTTTACAACAGCATTTTTGGACTTCTAACAGTGTAGCCTCAGATCCTCAATTTGTTGAGGTTACCACTACTGAGGTTTGATCAACCATTTTTATCTTTATACTCGAACCCCTTAATATCAAAGCCTGTCATTCCATCCTTCCTTCCGTTATAGCTGCATCTTCACTACTTCAGGTTTGAGTACAATTGATACACAACTGTTGTTTTAACCATTCATTGCTAGATCTGGCTTTTAATTGTCAAACTCTAGCAGGTTTCAATCCCTCAGTCAAAATAACACACTATCCTAGTGTCAACTTGAGTGCTTTATTTTGTTGAAATGCCCATTCTTTTAAGGCTGCAAGACGCAGTGATTCTGCTTTCCTGAAACCAACTGGCAGGTAAGTGATATAACGTTTACGACCTAATTGCTGAATAAACATTCGTTAAGATAAATTTGTTCAATTGCTGAGGCAAAATACATATCAAAAGCAACATTAGCCTGGATCTTCTGGTAGGCCACAAAGTTTGTACTGATTGAACAATGCTGCTCATTTCTTCCAGGATCTTCAGATCCAGGCTGGAATAAAAAGGAAGTGCAGGATTTCCTCGGTTAGCCCAGCAAATGTAGTATGGTTGGAATAAGGAGAGGAAATGCCTCTGTTTTACTACGGTAGCTGATGTAATCAGTTAAGTTTTTAAAAGGTCCAAGTGTTTTAATGAATGATTGTGAGTTAATGAATGGGTGAGAGTATGCATGAGTGACTGACTGAATGATTATGCACATTGAGGAATGGGGGCGGGAGGGAAGGATGGACAGCTGAAGAGCTATACAGCTGTTATACCAGGTATTAAACAATTTAACTTTTCCATAGTAAGTACATAGGGAAGCTCCACATATCTAGCCTATGTCTCTGCCTTGAAGTCAGTGTCAAATACACTGGCCGAGTGTTCCAATCGAGAGTGTCAGCTCATTGAAAAATTCAATTTCCCAGGCAATTCCTGTGTATATCAAAACCTCAACTATTACACAATCCTGACAGGCTCCCAACAAAGTCATACAGCCTGTGTCTCATCTCTCATAATCCAAAGACAGGAATGTTGGCACCGTTATATCATCAGAAAGATCAGATTTTGTCTAAAAGCTAGACCTACTTACACTAAGTCTACAGCAATACATTATACTGACAAAGAGAAACACAGTCAGACATAATTGGGAAGAGAAGGATTAAAATGTTTACAATTTTAACTGTATTATCAGTAAGAACAGAATATAAAAATACTGTCTCTAGTTACCTAAACTCAATTAGTCAATAAAATTCAACTTACCCATTCATTCAGCAAGACGACATCAACCCAAAGTGATAGCATGTAAAGCAAGGAGAAAGTTGAATTAATAGCAGAATTCCATGCACTACACAAGGGAAACACTCAGGCCACAAATTCCAAAGGTTTTCTTTAAATATAGTTTTCACATTCTGAACATCTTAACATTGTTAATGTGGTCTATATATAATGGCAGTATACTTGTACACTGTCAACTTTCCAAACCACATTTCAAAAATCCAGAATTTCAGTCAGCCCTGCTCAGTCTCCCAGTAAATCTTTTGTGAACCTTCTCCAATTTAATAATATCCTTTCTGTAGCAGGGCAACCGGAACTATACACAGTACTCCAGAAGAGGCCTCACCAACATCCCATACAACATCAATACGAGTCCCACATATTATCCAGAATCGCAGTGAGCACTAGAACGCTGGCATCAAACTTTAAAGACCATGTTGAGGATTTATAGTCAAGACTATCCACAGGATTGGAATAAAGGACTTCCATACAGGACTCTCTAGTCAGAAGCACAGACAGATATTTCTGCAGCTGACAGCGAGATATCAGAATGGTGTGTTGCCTCCCTCGAGTCAGGATCAAGGATACCTCGGACAGGGTGTAGAATATTCTCAAAGGGGAGAGGGACCAGCAGGAGGTCATTGTACGCATTGGAACTAATGACATAGGAAGAGAAAAAGGACAAAATTCTGAGGAGAAAGTATAAGAATTTAAAAAGTAAGTCCTCGAGGATAGTAATATCTGGAATACTTCTGGTGCCATGACCTAGTGAGGGTAGGAATAGGAGGATAAAACAGATAATTGCGTGGCTGAGGAGCTGGTGCCAGGGAGAAGTATTCACATTTTTTGGATCATTGGCATCTCTTCTGGGATAGAAGTGACCTGAATAAGGATGGATTACACCCGAATTGGAAGGGGTTTAATATACTGATACACTGGCAGGGAGATTTGCCAGAGCTGCTCAGGTGGATTTAAACTAGTGGGTCGGGCAGGGGGAGTCAAACCAAGGGAGATAGTGAGGAAAGAGAGCAATTGGAAACCGATACAGTTGGGAAAAGGATTAAAATCAAACAAACAGTCAGGGCAGGCAGGAACAAAGCAAAGAATGAGGTAGGACTGATAAATTAAACTACATTTATTTGAATGCAAGAGGCCTAACAGGTAAGGCAGATGAACTCAGGGCACAGTTGAGAACATGGGACTGGGATATCATAGCAATTATAGAGATGTGGCTCAGGGATGGACAGGACTGACAGTTTAGTGTTCCAGGGTATAGATGCTAAAGGAAGGATAGAAAGGGGAATGAGAGGAGTGGGCGTGGCATTTTTGATTAGGAATAACATTATGGCTGTACTCGAGGTTATTCCTGGGAATACATCCAGGCAAGTTATTTGGATCGAACTGAGAGATATGAAAGGGACGATCACCTTATTGGGATTGTACTATAGAACCCCCAATAGTCAGTGGGAAATTGAGAAACAAATTTGTCAGGAAGTCTCAGTTGTCTGGGAGAATAATAGAGGGTGATTATGGTAGGGGATTTTAATTTTCCAAACATAGACTGGGACTGCCATAGTATTAAGGGCTTGGCTGGAGAGGAATTTGCTAAGTGTGCACAAGAAAATGTTCTGATTCAGTATGTGGATGTACCTACTAGAGAAGGCGCACAACCTGACCTACTCTTGGGAAATAAGGCAGGGCAGGTGACCAAGGTGTCAGTGGGGGAGTATTTTGGGGCCAGTGACCATGATTCTATCAGCTTTAAAATAGAGGAAAAGGATAGACCAGATCTAAAAGCTAAAAAGTTCTAAATTGGAGGAAGGCCAATTTTGAAGGTATTAGGCAAGAACTTTTTAAATTGACTGGAGACAGATGTTCACAGGTAAAGGGATGGCTGGAAAATGGGAAGCCTTCAAAAAGGCGATAACGAGAGTCCAGAGACAGTATGTTCCTGTTAGGGTGAAGGGCAAGGCTGGTAGGTGTAGGGAATGCTGGACGACTAGAGAAATTTGAAGAAGTTTTGGTCACAGAAAAAAAGGAACCATATGTCAGGTATCGACAGCAGAGATCGAGCGAATCCCTAGAAGAGTGAGTATAAAAGCCGGAGTATACTAAAGAGAGAAATTAGGAGGGGAAAAAGGGAACACGAGATAGCTTTGGCAAAAGGGGTTAAAGGAGAATCCAAAATAATTCTACAAATACATTAAGGACAGGAGAGTAACTAGAGAAAGGTCAGCAAGGCTGCCTACGTGTTGGAACCACAGGAGATGAGGGAGATACTAAAGGGGTATTTTGCATCAGTTTTTACTGTGGAGAAGGATATGGAAGATAGAGAACGTGGGGAAATAAATAGCGACCTCTTGAAAAATGTCTGTATTACAGAAGTGGTGGTGCTGGATGGCTTAAATGCATAAAGCTGGATAAATCCCTGGGACCTGATCAGGTGTATCCTGGAACTCTGTGGAAAGCGGGGGAATAGATTGCTGGGCCCCTTGCTGAGATATTTGTACCATTGATAGCCACAGGAAAGGTGCCGGAAGACTGGAGGTTGGCTAACGTGGTGCCACTATTTAAGAAACGTGGTAAGGAAAAGCCAGGCAACTGAAGACTGTGAGCCTGACATCGGTGGTGGGCAGGTTGTTGGTGGGTATCCTGATGGACAGGATTTACATGTATTTGGAAAGGCACGGACTGATTAGGGATAATCAACGTGGCTCTGTGCCTGGGAAATAGTGTCTCTCTAACTGGATTGAGTTCTTTGAAGAAGTAACGAAGAGGATTGATGAGGGCAGAGTGGTCGATGCGATAAATACGGACTTCAGTAAGGCATTTCCTCATGGTAGGCTGGTTAGCAAGGTTCGATCACACGGAATAGAGGAAGAATTAGCCATTTGGAAACAGAACTAGCTCGAAGGTAGAAGACAGAGGGTGGTAGTGGAGGGTTGCTTTTCAGACAGGAGACCTGTGACCAGCAGTGTGCCACAAAAATCAGTGCTGGGTCCACTGCTTTTTGTCATTTATACAAATGATTTGGGTGTGAACATAGGATGTATGGTTAGTACATTTGCAGATGACACCAAAATTAGAGGTGCAGAGAACAACCAAGAAGGTTACCTCAAAGTACAACAGGATCTTGATGGGCCAAGGAGTGGCAGATAGAGTTTAATTTAGACAAAATGTGAGGTGCTGCATTTTGGAAAGGCAAATCAGGGCCGGACTCATACACTTATTGGTAACCTGGGGAGTGTTGCTGAACAAAGAAACCTTGGAGTGCTGGTTCATAGTTCATTGAAAGTGAAGTTGTATGTAGTTAGGATAGTGAAGACGGTGTTTGGTATGCTTGCCTATATTGGTCAGTGCACTGAGTATACGAGTTGGGAGGTCATTTTGCGGCCGTACAGGACATTGGTTAGGCTACTATTGGAATAATATGTAGAAATTCTGGTCTCCCTACTATAGGAATGATGTTGTGAAACTTGCAAGGGATTCAGAAAAGATTTACAAGGATGCGCCAGGTTTGGAGGATTTAAGCTATAAAGAGAGGCTGAATACATTGGGATTATTTACCCTGGAGTGTCAGAGGCTGAGGGGTGACCTTAGAGGTTTATAAAATCATGAGGGGCATGGATAGGGTAATAGTCAAGGTCTTTACCCTGGGGTTGAGGACTTCAAAACTCAAGGGCATTGGTTTAAGATGAGAGGGGAAAAATTTAAAAGGGACCTACCTTTTTCACGCAGAGGGTGGTGTGTGTGTTTGGAATGAACTACCAGAAGTACTGGTGGAGGCTGGTACAATTACAACATTTAAAAGCCATCTGGATGGGTGTATGAATAGGAAGGGTTTAGAGGGATATGGGCCAAATGCTGCAAATCAGACTAGATTTATTTAGGATATCTGGTCGGCGTGGACAAGTTGGACCGAAGTGTCTGTTTCTGTGCTGTACATTTTGTAGTATTTGCAATTAGGGGTACACCTAATGTATCAACTAAATTGGGGGTTTGGTATTGTCCATATCATTCACCACCAGAAAGGTAAAGTGGTTGCAGTATAGTCAGAAATAGGCCTAAGTTTCTTGGCAGCTGAACAAAAGACAAGTCAGTTGGCCCTACCCAAAAAATAAAATTAGTGTCAATTGCTTAATAGTTATTAAACTGGCCAGAATACGCCAACTATTTTACCACAGTGTTACTTACTGCAATTTACTACATACTGAAGGATTTAGGGCTGGTAATGCAAATTAGTGTTTGGTGTTTACCGCTTGCATTCTTGGCATCACCGAGGCCTGATTTGGATCCAAACACAGAATCGAAGTCCACATTCAGTGTTGACGGAACCATCATCTGTAGGGCTGGTTGAGGAGCAAAACCTAAAGTAAGAGTTCAATACAGAATCATTATCAACACCAAGGAAAGATATACAGGAAAATGCACAGAGCAGGGGGTGATGATTGCAAGAGAGCGCACGCAAGCAAGAGAAACACGCACAAGCCAGAGAAAGGACGTAAGCAAAACCACAAACAAGACTGACTGACTTTACATATGCCTCATCAAACCCTGAAGATCTCCCAAAGTTCGTTTTGACAAATTGATTACTTTTCAAATGGAACAGCCATTTTCCACAGTCAAAACCCCCAAAACAATTAAAGGAGCAGTCTCATTTTTTGGTGATGTTATTTGAGGCAGTAGTGTTGTCTAGGAGAATTCTTTGCTTTTCTTCAAATAGGTGTAGTTTTTATTTTAAAAATATTCAGCAAGTCTGCCTGAACAGCCCTGTTTTAAAGTTGCTTCCAAAGATAATACTTTAATACTTTTAACATTACACTCTTTCAGTACTACAGGTAAGTAGCAGCTAAAAAGTAAAGAGTTCCACGAAATTCAGCCTTCATAGTTAGGTCAGGAAGCTGAACACTAAATGTATAAACTCACAATTCAAAATTTCAATTATTTGAGAAATTCTATAAATTATATTTCAGAAGGAAAAAAATGTTGCAATTGCTCTAATTTTCCTCATTAATCCAATCAACAGAATTAATTTTTTTCAAATGAATTGTCTACCAATTATTCCCACAGATGATTTCAAATATAACATTTCCAAAAGGTAAGTGTTCAAAGCTTTGGTTTAATGCTATATACTGTAATTCTGTCACAGTTGAACTTTACCAACTGAAGGTACATTCAGTATTGCCAACATTACAACTAAAAACAGAAAAGTACTATCTTAGAAGTCAAGGAAAAGGTTCTGATGAGGTCACTGACCTAAACATTAATGCTCCCTTCATAGAGAATACCTGACCTGCTATTTCCTGCATTCTTTGGTTTTAACAGCAAGAAAATCCCAAAAGCTTCATGCTTCCAAAAATCACTTGAAAATAGTTATCTGCAATCAACGATTTATGGCTAACTCTCCAACAACTAAGAATTGCATCACCAATTAACTTGTTCAATTCAGTAATATGTACTGGTGAAGCGACTTTATTGATACACAAACTGAAATCTGCAGGACCCTGGGGAGTCTGGGCAGTTTTTTCAGGAGTGGGTGGGTCTGCAAGTAACTTGAAGAATAAGATTCAGAGATTTTGAGAGTAGAGGACATTTCAAAACGTGTGGTGTATTAAGAAAATCCTCCTTCTAACTTGAGATCTTAAATGAATGACCACAAGAAGTAGCCCAGAGTAAGCTAACTAGTGGTGGCCCGAGACAAGTTTGATGCATGTGCACTAAACATGGAGAGCAGAACATGCACATAGGAACTAAGAGTGGCAAAAGAATTTACTGTGTAAATAACCATTTGGCTCTGACCATTGCTAACACCATGTTGAACACTGGAACAGAATTCACTGAACTAATTTAAGATTTCAGTGAGCACAGTAGAAATCAATTAAATTGAAGAGCTACTGCATTACTGATATAATTTAAATGTGGGACCAATGATTACCGCTAATCCATTTGTAAAGGGGTATTTCAGCCACAAAGGTTTGAGAACCACAGTTACTTTGGTTGCTAATTAATTCACAAAATCTTACATTACACTAACTGCAATGAACTTCTCAAATATACCAGGAACAAAAACAAAGTTGCTGGAAAAGCTCAGCAGGTCTGGCAGCATCTGTGGAGGAGAAAACAGAGTTAACGTTTCGGGTCTGGTGACCCTTCCTCAGAACTGATGGTGGCTGGGAAAACGTCAGTTTATAACTTAGCATCAGTTCTGAGGAAGGGTCACCGGACCTGAAACGTTAACTCTG